CTCGAGCGGGGGGGGGGGAGAGGTCATCGGCCCGCCTTACGGACAGAGTGGCCCTGCGAGCAGCCTGCCCTCTTCCTCCCCGCCCGTGCAGCAGCCTGGCCAGCGTTCCGCCCTCACCCTCCAGCCCACCACCGGCGAGGAGGCTGCAGGGACGGACCCCTGACGGGATGGGAACCGGTCAGCACCCGCAAGCTCACAACTGCCGCAGAGACCCCAGTCCTGGCGAGGTTACGGCAGGCAAGAAGTCCCACTGAAATAAGTAGGGCAGCCAGCTAACTCAGGCCCCACTGGAAGGAGGGGGATGCAGCCCACCTGCCTGTCCCTGGACCAGGCCCGGAAAGGCCTAAAGTCAAAGTCCAGTCAGTCGGCTGTTCCAAAGGCCCCCCACCACCACCGAGGGGAGGGCCAGCTTTCTACGGCCCGTTTCCTTTGGAAGGCTTCGGCAGGATCTCCGGGGCCACGCGTAGCAGCCACTGGACGGCTCAGGTCCGAGAAGGGGCTGAGCAGCGATTGTCCCCGGGGAGCGTTCTGTGTCAGACACCTTTTCCAAGTGTGATGTGTGTGGCCAGCAGCCTCCCGCCACTTTGCGACAGGAACCGGCGCCAGCACACGGTGACTGTGGTGAAACGGGCCGGCATGGCCCCTGGCAACTAGATCGGGGGAGCTGGCCCCTCCCCTTGGGCTGCGTGGGCCGGGTGGGCCGTGGTGGCCCCACAGAGGGCAAAGGCTCCGTTCTTGCCCCCCGTTCTGGCGGCAGCGTGTGCCGAGGGGCTGGCTCTGCAGGTGCTGGAGCGCAAAGGGATGGCGAGGTGACCCGCGGGCCAGGCTCCCTCTCAGCCGTGGAGTCCTGTGGGCAAAAACTCTACTTTGTAAGCTCCTGGCACTAAAGTTGAGAGCTTAAAGTCGAGGCACTAAAGTCACTCTGGAGCCGTCCTTCCTGAGCTAAGACAAAAATGTGTGAGCCGGAGGCTAAAAAACTGTGAGCTGGCTCACACTGACTCAGCTGAGAGGGAACGCTGCCCGTGAGTGTGGCCAAGGCTTCTTGGGTGGTGTCGGGAATCGTGGCTCAGCAAGCAGTCCGGCTCCAGGGGGCCTTGGGAACTTAGTGCCAAAATGGCTCTGGAAAGAGGCCGCTCTTGGAATGGAACCATGTTTGGACTTTGGGCAACGGAGACTTCTAGACGGGAGACTTGGGGGGCCCCCCCTGCAACAAAAGTGCTGCCCCCCAGCAATGCCACCCCGCTTTCCTCCCCACTGGCAGGCAGCAGCCCCCCCTTTCATCCAGTACTTTCGTAGGTGACGAAAACAGCAAACAAAAAGTGTGCGTGCGTGTGGGGTGTGTGCTAACACCGTGCTCTTTGTTTTGTGCGGCAGCATGGAGAGAAGGTGAATGTCTTTTGTTGGGGCTCTTTATAATAGAGTTCCCACTTGCCCTGAAAACAGACCACGGCCCGACAGGTCCAGCTCACGTGTTTAGCCAGAAGGGCAAGATGGGAGTCAGCCCCCCGGACCCAGAGCGTGGGGACCCCCACCCCACACTCCCCTCAGGGATGCGGCATGAACGTACCATTTCCCCACTCTGGTTTTTGCTTCTCGTAAGAGCAGGGCTGTGGCCAAATTTAAGTTCTAACGAAGAAGGAGGTGGAGAGCTCATCCTGTGTGCAAATATGACTTTTACAAAGCTCACGTTTGACATTTCAGTGCACAACACCACCCGTGTGCGTCTCATCTCCCCCTCCCCCACAATGCCGTGTAAACAGTTTCTGTTTAGAAGATTGACAGTCTTAAGAGTCCACGGCAGCCATCTTTGCTTAAGACGCACAAGAGCTGAGGCTCTGTACACAGAGTGGCAGAGTCCCGGAAGGAAGGAAGGAGGCCGGGCACAGGCCTGATGCCAGGAGAACACCCGTGGCTCTGGGGGAGGTGGTCACACCACAAAACGTCGTTCTCTGTTGACCCGGAGTGCAGCGAGCGGAGGACCCAGTTCCATTTGGGGGCCGCCCACTGCTGGCTCTGCTGCCGACTTCAATCCCGGGCAGCAGGAGAAAGATGGCAGGGAGATGCCAGCAGGGCACAGGAGAGGGCATATGGCTCAGCTGCAGCACACACAACATCCGTCCTTGACATACCTCCTTGAAAAGGGGTGATCTGAGGGCCCCTCCCCTGCCCCTGGAGGGCCCTGCGCTCAGACCCCTGCCCTCCGCCCGAGACAGAAGGAGCAGCTTCATCCCACCTTGCTCTGGGGTCCTGGGCCTGGATGCGCCCCCCCCCCAAGGGGCCTGTCACGCTTCCTCAGAAAGGAGGGGACAAAAGGGAACAGGGCGCCGTTGCTGGGAGCATGGAGGAGTGTCGCCAAACACCGGGGGTGTGCCCCTCCCCTGAAGCTGGAGGCCAAGGAGGCCCCCCCGCCCAGGACACCCAGTCGGTGCACAACCGCAGGGAGGTGCTCTCAGCAATCCTGACGCGGAAAAACTCCGGCCCGTGAAGCCCCCACTTGGCCTCTGCAGCCAGCCCGCCCCCTCTCTGGCCAGAGTTCGTTCCCAAGCGGACGAGGTGGGTGGGGGTGGGGGGGTGTCCTTGTGGAAAGAGTTTGGGGGGGGGGAGACGACGGCTGGGAGGGAGGCTGGCTCCCGAGGGAGGCTGTCGCTTGCCGCTCAGCCTGATGCTCCACATGAAAACGAGGTGTGGCAGGACTGGCCCTCTGGACGGGGCGCCGTTCTCGGGCGGGCAGACGCAGGAGCAGAAAGCGAGGAGGGACGGACTGCAGCGCTCGGGCCCGGCCTCATCTGTCTCGTCTCCGGCGTGGCGGTGAAGGCGAATAGTGGCGAACGGGCGGCACGTCATAGTGGCTGGGGATGTGGCTGTTCTTCGGGGAATCGTAGTGGTTTGGGGGGACGTCGGGAGTTGCCTGTGAGGGGCCGCCTGCCCCAAGCAAGCCGTTTTCTACCAGGGACAGAAGAAAAGGAAGCAGAGCGTGAACACGGGCTCTTGGGCTTGGCCACGGCGCAACCGTCAGGAGGCAAAGCAAAGCAACTGGCAGCCATGGCCTCTGGAGGTTCCCGTGCAAAGCCGCCGCTTTTCTTCCTTGGCGATCGATGGCTCTTTTTTACGAGATTGTGTACAACTGCCCTGCAGACAGGCTGGATGCGTGCCGCCATTGGGCTTCTCAGCACAGATTATGCGCAGGGGTGATTAATTCACAGGAAGTGGGGGGGGGGTGTCTCACAGTTCTGAGACTTACCTTCTACCTGCCAGCCAGGGGTCTTCTGGGTGGCTAATGGATTCGAACCCACATCCAAGCCATGTCAAATATGAAACCTGCTGAATAGAGAACCACAACCCACCTGCTGACACAGTTTGCGCTGGCCTGCTGTGGCTGGGGGAGGGGGAGTGTCTCCAAAACTATGTGATGGCAGTGTGTCTTACTGGTTAGAGCAAGAAGGAGAGAGAGAGAGAGAGATGAGCGTCTTACTGGTTAAGGTTGTTGGAATCCCCTCTCGGCCATTAAGCCCACCAAGAGGCCTTACGCCAGTCGCTCTCTCTCTCTCTCAGCTTAACCTACCTCACAGGGTTGTTGTGAGGATTCAGAGGAGGGAAACAATATTCAGCACCCTCAGCTCCTAGGAGGAAGGGGGGCATAAAATTTTACTGAATAAAATAAATAAACCATGTCTTGGAAGCCACGTGCCGCTCTCTGGGGTGGGGCGAGTGGGGCTGATGGGGCCCCCTCGTTCTGTAGGAGAGGGGGCCGTCTAGTCAAATGGAGACCTGTTCTGTATGGTCAGGTGGTCTTAGCCATCAAACAAACAACCACAAGTATGTATCTTATGGCTCTCAAAATCCTGTGGCTCAGCGGGTCTGGCCACCCTGGAGCTACACCTTGTCTAACTTGTTCTTCTGGCAGCAGGACAGACAATAGGAAATACCACTTGGCACAGTGAGTGATTCAAATGTGGAATTTGCTGCCAGAAGGTGTAGTGATGGCTACAGGAATAATCAGCTTAAATAAACAGATTCATGGAGGAGAGGTCTATCCGTGGCTACCAGCCGTGGTGACTGACTGAGGGGAACCTCCACACTCAGAGGCACTGATCCTCTGAATCCCAGCGCCAGGAGGCAACATCGGAGGAAGGCCTTGGCCTCTCTGCCCTCTTGCTGGCCCTCCAGAAGAACTGTGTGGCTGGCCCCTGTGTGAGACTGGATATGCTGGACTTGCCAGGGAAACAGTGCTCATTATGGCAAAAACAACACATGATGAGGGAAGGGAGTCGCAGCCTAGGGGTAGTATATAAACACCTAGTTTCTTGAAGTGAAACGAAGTCCTTGGGGCAAGATGAACTGCATCCAAGAGTACTAAAAGAACTCATGGATGTCATTTTTGAGCCTCTGGTCATTATTTTTGAGAATTCTTGGAGAACAGGTCGTAGAATCATAGAGTTGGAAGGGACCTCCATGGTCATCTAGTCCAACCCCCTACACAATGCCGGAAATACACAAATACCACCCCCTCCACACCCCCAGTGACCGCTATTCCACACCCAGAAGATGACAAAGGTGAGATGCCAGAAGACTGGAGGTGAGCAAATGTTGTTCCCATCTTCAAGAAGGGGGGAAAAGAGGATCCGGGTAACTATCAGCCTGATGTCTATACCTGGGAAAGTTTTAGTACAAATGAAACAGTCAGACCTTGAGCATTTAGAAAGGACAACTGTGATTACTAAGAGCCAGCATGGGTTTCTCAAGAACAAGTCATGTCAGACTAACCTTCTCTCTTTTTTTTTTGAGAAAGTTACTACCTTGCTGGATCAGGGGAATGTCGTGGACATAGTTTATCTTGATTTCAGTAAGGCTTTTGATAAGGTCCCACATAATATTCTTTTTGACAAGTTGGTAAAATGTGGTTTGGATCCTATGACTGTTAGGTGGATCTGTAACTGGTTGACAGATCGTACCCAAAAAGTGCTTGCGAATGGTTCCTCATCCTCTTGGAGAGGAGTGACAAGTGGAGTGCCTCAAGGATCTGTCCTGGGACCTGTTTTGTTCAACATCTTTATCAACGATTTGGATGAAGGAATAGAGGGAATGCTTATTAAATTTGCAGATGATACTAAATTTGGAGGGGTAGCAAATACGGTAGAAGACAGAGTCAGGATACAGACTGATCTTGGCAGGCTGGGAAAACTGGGCTAAAACAAATAAAATGAATTTCAATGGGGATAAAGGTAAAGATCTTCATTGAGGTAGGAAGAATCAAATGCATAATTATAGGATGGGGGAGACTTGTCTTGGCAGCGAAAAGGATCTAGGGGTATTAGTAGACCATACACTGAACATGAGTCAGCAGTGTGAAGCAGCTCAGTGCTCCCTCTAAGCTGAGTTAGCGTGAGCTAGCTCACAGTTTTTTAGCCTCTGGCTCACACATTTTTGTCTTAGCTCAGGAAGGAGGGCTCCAGAGCAAACTCATTTATGCAGTAGCCAAATCGCTTGCTCACATCTTTAATACCAGTAGCTCACAAGACTCCACAGCTTAGAGGGAGCATTGGATGCGGTAGCTAAAAAGGCAAATGCGATTTGGGGCTGTATCAACAGACGTATAGTGTCCAGATCACGTGAAGTGATGGTATGTCTTTACTCTGCTCTGGTCAGACCTCACCTAGAGTATTGTGTCCAGTTTTGGGCACCACGAGTCCGAAGACCCCTATGAGGAAAGTTTGAAGGAGCTGGGTGTGCTTAGCCTGGAGAGGAGACGACTGGGAGGTGACAGGCTCACCATCTTCAAGTACTTGAAGGGCTGTCATAGAGAGGATGGTGCGGAATTGTTTTCTGTTGCCCCAGAAGGTCGGACCAGAACCAACGGGTTTAAATTAAATTAAATCAGAAGAGTTTTCAGCTCAACATGAGGAAGAACTTCCTGACAGAGCAGTTCCTCAGTGGAGCAGGCTTCCTCGGGAGGTGGTGGTGGGCTCTCCTTCTTTGGAGGTTTTCAAACAGAGGTTAGGTGGCCATCTGACAGCAATGCTGATTGTGTGAATTTAGGCAGATCATGAGAGGGAGGGCAGGAAGGGTTGCCTCAGGGCTTAGTTCTTGTGGCCCTTTCTTACACGCCCAGGGAAATGCCATTCACCACTTTGGGGTGAGGAAGCAATTTTTCTCCAGGCCAATATGGCCAGGGATCATGGAGATTTTTTGTCATCTTCTGGGCGTGGAACAGCAGTCACTGTGAGTGTGGAGGGGGCGGTATTTGTGAATCTCCTGCATTGTGCAGGGGGTTGGACTACCCTCTAACTCTATGATTCTATGACTAGATAGACCATTTGTCTGACCCAGCAGGGCTCTTCTGAGGTTCTTATATCAGGGGAAGGCCTCGGCCTCTCTGCCCTGTTGTTGGCCCTCCAGAGGAACTGGCTGGCCCCTGTGTGAGACGGGAGGCTGGACTGGAGGGACCCTCCCTGGTCTGACCCAGCAGGGCTCTTCTGGGGTTCTTCTCAGGGGAAGGCCTCGGCCTCTCTGCCCTGTTGTTGGCCCTCCAGAGGAACTGGCTGGCCACTGTGTGAGACGGGAGGCTGGACTGGAGGGACCCTCCCTGGTCTGACCCAGCAGGGCTCTTCTCATATTCTGAAGCACATGCAGGACCCCATAAAGAAAAATGACCAGCAGTAGAGTATAGCGGTTAGTGCTCAACCAGGATCTGGGATATCCGGGTTCAAATCCTCCTTCTGCCATGACGTCTGGTCTCAATGTAATCCTGCTGAGAGGATTGTTGTGAGGGTCAAATAAAGAAGGGAGAACCACACACTCTGCTCTGAGCTGCTCAGAGGAGGAACACGATAAAGATGTACCAGACAGACCGAGAGAGACCAGAGAACTTTCATGCTCTTTCTCCAGGCCTCTGTCTGCAATGGTGAGGAGCAGAACTGTGAAGGTGGGAGGACACGTTAAAAAACCCCGGGCCCGAAAGGGGGCTCCCCAGAACGGCAGAGGCAACCCAGGTACCTCCTTCCTCCTCCTCCTCCAGGCTCTGGGCGGAGGCTTCGAAGAGCCCGATCTCTGCGTAGGACAGCTCCCGCCTGGCCGGCGCCCTCATCTCCATGTAGCCGCCCTCGGATGGCTTGCCAGCCAGGACGGGCAGGTCCTTGATGGTGGCGTAGGGGTTCTCGCTGCTCAGGGAGCTGTCACTGCGGCACAAGGGCTCCTCCCGGACGCACTCTGCAGGGCGAGGGAGAGGGCGTGACTGACAGCCGGTGGTGCTGGGAAGGGGGCGGGGGCAGCAAGCGACACCAAGCCCGGCAGCTGCAACAGGCGGGGCCCATCTCTGCCTGGCCCACCAGGGCCGAAGGTGTCTGCAGTCCCACCAGCCCCTGGCGCCAGCTGCAGCGGAGGCCTCTGGACTCTTCTGCGCCCACCCGCCCGCTTGTGGCCTCCAGGGCTGCTGGCCGGCCGGCCGGCCCTGCAGTGAAGGGGGCAAAGCCTCCACGCCCGGGGCTGCGCCCATGGCCTGTGCTTCTTCTCTTAAACATCAAACACAAAGCCACACACACCGGGAGCCTCTTTGGACAGGCCGCACAAAGCCATCCCCCCCTCCCCCCCCCCAAACTGGCTGCCACAGGGACATCTGCGCCTGCGGTCTGGACGACTGCTGGGGTGGAGACGCCACCCCTCCCGGCACGGTGGGTGTCCTGCCTTCGCCCTTCCTCCCCACAGAACAAAGGGTGAGCCCCGCGGCCCGCCTTTAGGACCCCGGTTGGTCCCTGGACTCAAACTCCATTCTTTTGCTTCAGACCAACACAGCGACCCCGCCTGGATCCACTCTCTACCGCAGGAACAGGGGGAGGAGCTGGAATCCAATGTCCACATGCAGCTGAGCAGGACGGGGGGGGGGAGGGAGGGGAGGGAGCAGTTTCCTCCTTTAAGTGGGCAACCAGCCCCCCCCCCCCCCGTTACCTCTGTGGTGGTATTTTCCTAGCCCATTGGTGTAGCTGTAGCTGCGATCAATCTGGCTTCCTCCTATGGAAAAGGAAGTGGGCAATCTGGTTAGATGAAGATCCCTTCACGAGCACCCCAAACCTATCGCATGTGAGTGGCGGAAATAACACAGGGCCTGCACTCGGAAGGGGCTCTCCTCCCCACTGCAGCCGCAGCGAGGTCTGGAAGCCGGACTGTAGGAGAATCTCTACATTCCGCCCCCCCCCCCACTCCCACCCCACAGGCTGTCTGCCACTGAGAAGAGAAAACGTGCGTTGGGGCTGCCGTGGAGTGGCTCCCCTTGAGCTCGACAAACGCCCAGTTATCACTTCTGTTTCTAGCTCCACACATTCGAAACCCCGTCACGGCCTTACCCAGCCCTCGGTGGCTCAGTGCCGGAGTGCTGCCCTGGTGCTTCCAGTCTGCGGGAAGGGTGGCGTTGCAATCCACGCCGCCGTAGAGCCCTGGCCAATCCCGCTCCAGGCTCTTGGCGCTGGAGAAAAGCTGGCCGCTGGCCAGCTGGAGTGCGACGGGAGGGGGGGGGGAGAGAGAGAGAGAGACAAGTGTTCCATCCAGAGAGGTCTGGATGCCACTGTTGTTTGTCTTATTACTGCTTTGGCTACAATTAATCACAATCCTCTGTGAAATAACGGCATGCTCTCTCTTGATTACAACGACATGGGACCTTGTATGAAGGCCACAGAGTCAGGAACTGCTGGGCAGCTCTCTGGTCAAACTCCAGCCACTGATGGGGTGGGGAGGGTGTGCAGGAGACAAGGGTGCTTATAGTATACTATACATTTTCATTTCTTGTTCACCTGCCTGGCAGAGACTCAAAGTGGATTACAGAGTTCTTAAAGACAAAGCAAAAATGCAGTACATACACTACACAAGGCAATAAGACTGGATTTCACAGTAAGAGAATGATAAAGTACAGGTGGTATAATGCATCCAATAAACAATGTAGTGTAAAGGAAGGAGGAGAAGGGGGGGGCACCGAAACGTTTCACAAGCAAGTAAATCCCAATCGTGTTGCCTAGACCGGAAGTGCCCTTCCCACAGAATTCCATCTTAGTGCATTGCTATTCCCTTTTTTGAAATGACCTCTTGGAACGGTTCTGTTTTACACGTTTGGAACATTTCGAGAAAGGCGGATCTATAGGTAAGTGGTTCTTAAAGGCCATGAAGGGCTTTGTAGGCAACACCTGGAACTGAATTTGGGAATCAACTGATAACCAGCAGATCAACTGCTGCCATGGGTATAAGACCCATGTAAGACCCAAGGAGTTTGGAAGCCCCTCTGAGACACCTTTGGGTAGTGAAGGGCGGGGTAGGAATCCAATCTCCTTTTCTTCTTCTACACGTAGCCCACCACCTGTCTCCCAACAGGAATTGAGCAATGGCGTTCTGTCCTATCTCCTGGAGTTTCTGAGTGGTCTTCAAGGGCAGATCCAAGTAGAGCATATGAAGAAGAAGAAGGAGAGATTGGATTTGTACCCCATGGCCCTTCACTATCCAAGGGAGGGTGGCTTACAGTCTCCTTTCCTCTCCCCTCCCCAAAACAGACACCCCGTGAGGTGGGTGGGGCTGAGAGAGCTCTGACAGAAACGGCTCTTTTTTCAAGGACAGCTCTTATATAAGAACTACGGCTTGCCCAAGGTCATCCAGCCAGGTGCAAGTGGAGGAGGAGTGGGGAATCAAACCCGTTTCTCCCAGATTAGAGTCTGCGCTCTTAACCACTACACCAAATCCTGCCTCAGGATGACTGTGGTGTGGACTCACAGGGCCAGAGAGGGCTGGCCATGGAACGGAGTCATCCCGGGGCTAAGTGAAGGTGGAAGAAGGGGAGAGTGTGTGTGAAAAGAGGCCTCCTCGCCCCCCTGTCAGACTCCAGGGCTGCTGCCACCCCATCGTCTCCTCTGCTTCTAGGGTTTGTTTTTTTTAACCCCACCCGATCTTCTTAAAGGCTTCACTTTTTCCTTCAATCCTGCAGGGGCCCCCAAGTTTGGAGCAAGATCTCCCACCTCTCCACCTGGTCCCAATCTGAGGATACAAGTATCCGCGCAGAGTGGGCTGGGTTGGCTCTCAGGGTATAAGATGCCCTGCTTCCCCTCCCCCCCAGTGCGGGACCAAAGCCGCTGACATCACGGTCATCCCCAGCCCCCCCCCCCGGTCTCCATTCCATCCTCACAAGAGCCCTGCCGGGGAGAGAGCAAAATTTGAGTCCCCCGGTGGGGGCACTTTTGAGACCACGGAAGTTTTATTCTGGGCGGGAGCTTCCGTGTGCAGGCACACCCTCCTTCAGACACCAACAAAGTTTTAGGCCCATAATAGAACTGTGTTGCTCTTAAAGGTGCCCCCACCGGATGCAAACTTTGTTCTGTTGCTTCAGACCAACCTGGGGCGACCCACGGCGTCCGACAAAGTAGGTCAGACGGAGAGAGAACAGCCAACTCAGAGTCACCCCGGAACGCGTTCTGTGACAGAGCAGAGACCTGAATGTGGCTGGCCCAGGCCCTCGGCCGGAGGCGATGACCACCACCGCCCGCTGGCTCCCTTGCCTCTCCAGCAATGCTGCTGGGTCCACCATACCCGTGATGGTCCAGTGTGGGGAGTGGCAGTGCCCCCCCAGCCCTCGGCCTTCACAAGCAGGGTCACCTCTGTTGGGTCAGGATTCACTCTCACTGGCCATGGATTCAATCGCAACGGTAGAGAAGTGCGTCTGCATTAACCAAAGCCACCAACACAGTCTCTGCCCCCCAGGCAGGTCTGGCACCAGACAAGGAAGGGGTCTGGAGCTGGTGAGCCACTCAGAGAGTCCCGGACGAGTTCTGCCACCACCCTGTCCATTAACTGCACATAAAGGGACCAGACCAGACCATAGCCGGCCACAGCATGTAAGGTCTGAGTCAGAGAGCAGGGGTCAGTATGCTCCCCTCGGGATACAGAGGCTCCTCCCGAGTCTACAGTCAGCCCCCCCCCCAAGACCAACGGCCCTTGATCCACGTGGGCTCCCGGGAAGCCCCCTAAGCCTCTGCTGGCTGGATAACAGTGAAGTGGCCGTAATGATCTCTACCACTGTCACTTGCTCTTGACATTGCGGACAACTGGCCCTACTGGAGCAGGTCTGGCAGTCACTGGTTTTAATGGGGGGGGGGGCAGGACAGTTTTTTGTGATCTGCACTTCCACAGTTAAAGCATTTCTTCTGCTTGGGTGTGTGTGTGCGCGCACGCGTGCTTGGAAGTCATGGCTGACTTCTGGTGGCCCCTAGTGGGGTTGAGAGGCAAGGATGTTCGGAGAGGGGGGCTTGTGTCGTGGCCCGGGTATTCCTTGGAGGAATCCCATGATCCAAGGACTTGCCATGGTCGGCCCTGCTTAGCTTCCGAGGTCGGACTCGGGTCAGGGCTCTTCTGCTTGGCTTTGATTAGCCAGGTGGGGGGGGCTTCCTTGATCTCCCTCGAGTCCTCCATCCCACCCCTTTTCAATTCAGCGCCAGCTCACCTGCCAGGTCACAAAGTTCCAATAAAGATTTAGGGAGTTATCTTTTATCAGTTGCTTTAACTCCCTGGGGAGGTGGAATTGAAATTGATCGGCTGATCCAGTTCCTCAGGCTTCTTAAAAGAAATCGATTCCCCCTCCTTGTAACCATTTGTTACAATTAGAGACTCCAGCTTGGCCCCCAACTGGGGATAAGACTTCCCCTGCGGAGGCAAAGTGGGCCCATGTGAGGTTTGCAGGAGCGGTCTTGGTCCCAGGCAGAACCTCGTTAACACTGTCTCTTCGAAAGCCTCGCATTTAACTCCCTCAGCAGGGGCAGGCTCCCTTGGGCACAGCACCAGAGCTGTGGGGGGACCCCCCCTGCCCCCCGTTTGCAGAAAAATCTGAACTCTTAAAACAAATAGGGGTGTGGGGTTTGTGTGTGCATATTTAATTCTCCCCCAAAGCAAAACAGTGTTCTCTGGGCAAGTGGTGGTTGGAGGAGTGCGGGAGCCGTGCCAGGCCCTTCCCCCTCAGGAGGAGTCTCGCGTGACCACACTTCTTCTTCTCCAGTTTTCTAATCCAGTGTTGTTGTGACAGACTGCCCCGATTGTGTTGCTTTCACCCGTGTAATCCACTCAGCATCAGCGAGAACGGCCAGCTACACAAGAAGTAAATCAACCGTGAAGGAAGACGGTGCGGCTGATGAACAGAGGCCCGGGCGTGAGGGCAGCAAGGGGGTTGCCCGCACCTGGCACCGCCCAGGAATAACACTTAATGCTGGTGGCCCTTACCTTACTGGGAGGCGGCTGCTCTGGGATGCTGGGCACGGGAAGGCTTGGAGCACACGGCGACAGAGTATGGTAACTGGGGTTGGAGTAATAGTGGGTGTAACTGGGAGGGATGTCTAGGCAGAGAGAGAGAGAGCCATGATGGCACATTCCACCCAAAGCTTTGCAGGAATTTATTCTCAACCATTCTGGACTGACAGTCTTGTTTTAGAAAAATATATCTTTTTAAAATACAACAATCAGTATCAATCTTTTTTAAAGACAATAAAAAGACAACAAACCAATAAGATGGGTAGTCGTGTGAGTCCGTCACAGTCAAAAAGAGCCAGAGTCCAGCAGCACCTTAAAGACTCACAAAGTCATGGCAGGAGAGGAGCGCTCGTGAGTCACCGGCTCACTTCTTCAGATATGAAGTGAGCCGTGACTCACGAAAGCTCCTCCCCTGCCACAAATTTTGCCAGACTTTAAGCTGCTCCTGGACTCCTGCTCTTCTCTACTGCAACAAATGATTTTTAAAAATTAACTAAGAGGCCTGCATCCCTCTACACTGAAGCAATAGTATGATTTCACATCCTGTGCGGGGAAGGAACAAGGAGAAGTATGAAAACCAGAAAGCGACTGGGGGGGCAGGGTCACCCTTTCGCCTGCGCCAGGTGCGCCAATGAGTGCACCAGAGCCCCCAGGAACCCCCCCCCCCACCTCTTTGTGTCTCCACAAAGCAGCTTTGCGCCCGCTGCCCACCCACTTCTCACGCAGCAGACACCCCCCCCCTTTCTGGTCTCAGCTGACAGAGGCTGTTCGGGGAGCTCAAGGGCCTCCTTCTCACACTCTGAATATGGTGCCCAGAAGCCAACAGGCAGACAACGTCCACCTTTTCAGAGCAGGAAGGCGTGTTTGGCAAGTCGCAGTGGTGAGTAACGTTGCCATGTCATTTCCCGGTGGGCCAACCCACACATTTCAATTTTCTTTGAGGGGACAAAATAATTCCACTTCCTGTGAGCCACAAGGGGGAATCTGGGATGGAGGATGAATTCTGGGGGTGGGTGGAGTGGGGGTGGGTGGCACTGAGGCAGCAGCAGGAGGCCCCGTCTTCTCCTCTCGGTGCGTTGGGGGTCTTTGTTTTGCCCCTAGATGGCGGCGCTCTGCTCACTGGGGTCTGTGGCTGTCAGTGGCACAAACGGCCCGGGCCCGCTGCCCCTCCTCTCACCTGGCACAGCATACTCGGAAGTGTCTGTCCGCCCTGTGGTGTAGGCCACAGATAGGTGCTGGCTCTCCTTGCCCTTCTGCCAGTGCCGGTAGTAGAGGAAGAGGGCCAAGACCGCCACCAGCAAGGCAGCCATCACGCCGATGCCAATCACAGCCCCCAGGGTGCCGCTGTAGCCAGTGGGAGGTGCAGGAACCATAGCAAAAGGATGGTCGGGGTTTTCTGTTCCTCAGGGGAGAAAAGGTTTATTACAATGTCCAGCCAGAGACACGATCAACGTCTCAAGAAATCTGGGCCCGCCGCTGCAACCAGTTTTGTGAAAGCGTGCACCCCTTCCAGTCCCACAGCTCACTGCCGCCCCATTCCTTGACGAGCGATGCTGCTACAGGGCTTCTCTGAGCCTTGCAGATGCCCGGCACATTCCCCACAGGGCCGGCACCAAGGGAGTGGGTGCATGCGTGTGTGCCCAGACACACACACACACACACAGAGACCAAGCCACCAGCCAGCCACTGGGGGACATTCTGCTCTGCAGAAACTTTTAAGCAGCACTGGGAAGCAGAAGGAGGGAAGCCCCTTCTCGGCACAGGTGAAGTCTCAATTCTGCCCTGGGTTGTGCCCAGGTCTGGGCTGAGCCACGGCCCCCGGCTCCTGTGTCGCAGGTGGGGACTCGGCTGTGGGTCTCCTTTAGGGGAGGCCACTGGGGCTTCCCTGCCTGGGACCACATCACAGAAAGGAGCTGCCATCGAGGGAGGGAGGGAGGGAAACTGGGACAGAGTTGGCATACTCACTGGTTTCACAGCGGGCACCGGTGAAGCCGGAGAGACACAAGCACCGCCCAGTTTCAGGATGGCACTGGGCCTCGTTCTGGCACTGGCACTGATGGGTGCAGTTGTCCCCAAAGAACCCGAGCGGGCAGCCTGTACAGACCACACCAGGAGGGTCAGTTCTGAGACGCGGGCGGGCCTCACAGGGTGTCTCAGCCGAAGGGGCCAGACCGTGACGGCACATCCTCCCCACAAGAGGACAACCGCGGTTCAAGCACCTCCCCCTGTGAGGAAAAGCTCAAGAGTCTGGGGCTTTCCCAGTTTTTATTTTTGAAGAAGCAACTAAGGGGGACCTAATACAGGTTTGTCAAACTATCTGGAACCGGTAGATAGAGAAAAAGAACACACACCCCCCACCCATGACGGTAGAATATTTCCCAGGACTCACGGCCCCTTCCTCAGAATTTTGGCCACCTGCAGCCACCCACCCGCCCGCCCGCCCTCGGGGGAGCCTGGGGCCATGTGGGGCCTCCAGCATGACCTGGCCCTAGGGGGGAACGGGCGGCTCCTCTCTGAGCAGCAAGGGGGGAGGCTCTGCCTGCCCTTCCCTGGAGGAGCTGGCGCCCCCTCTGGGCCTCAGAGCTCCAGACCCCTCCCCGCCCGGCAGAGGCCCCCACCGGCTCTTTCTCTACCGCCCGCCACCTGCCCTCCCCTCCGCTTTCCCGGTGCCCTCGGTGCCCCCCTCCCCCATCTCCGGCTGTTTTAGTTCCAACGTTTCATTTCATTTCGGTGACTCAGAAGTTCCCGGGGTTGCCACCCTCCAGGCAGGGTCTGGAGATCTCCTGGAATTACAGCTGATCGCCATACTAGGACAGAGATCAGTTCCTCTGGAGAAAGTGCCTACTTTGTTGGCTGGACCATATGGCACTGTAGAGGGTTACCATGTTTTGAAAAGCAAGAGGGAGGATATATTTCCAGCATGACTACTTCAAACAAGTGACACACCTATGACAAATCTCATTAATCTGTGATAATCGCTACTAACTGGGAATATTCCTCACCTTCCAACCCCCCCCCCCCAAAGAGGACATTTTCATCCGTTTTTTTAAAAAGAGCCCTAGAGGACAGACACCCCCCCCCAAAAAAAAAGAGGACACGTCTTCTAAAAAGAGGGCCCCTCCTCTGGCAACACTCCACTGAGGAGGCCCCTCCCCCCTCCCCCCGACGCTTCACCCCC